CCTACTAATCACCCTAAATGTGCACCAGTGCACCTTCTCTAACTCCTGTGCAGGTACCAGTGATACCTGGTGGTGTGAAATCAGGATGAGGTCTCATTTGGTATGAGTATGCAGAGGGTTAGATCATCAATGTCCAAAATCAGTACAGTTGCTCTTATTTTCATCAGCCAAGTATGTGGTTACCAGCTCTTACCATTTGGCAAAAAAATTGTTTTCTGTCGGGTTTCTGGTTTTCAATAGAAATATTCATATATATAAAATGAATCAGCAACGTGGTTCTAGGATCCTATAGATATAGATCCATATAGCTAATTAATTAATCCTCTAAAATCTCTCATTATAGTGCATGATAACAATCCTTTTGGATTTCTTTCTTGTACAATATTTTGGTTTTTTTCAGAGATTTCTCTACAGTGAAGAGAGTTAACAGCAGGTAATGCCATTCATCTCGGAAGGAGTTTGAAATTTTCAGTGTTAGTGATGAATGAGGGTATCTGACCCACATCTGTTTTACATTAGAATGGAACATTGCCCTGACATCGTTAGGAGCATTTGTCAAGATTCCCTGGACAGAGCTTCTGTAAATTACATGCTGCAAATGTGTCAGGGTCAGATAAGAGGATATCATTAACTGCGCTAAAGTTTACTCATGGTTCTGTCAGTTCAACTTAATATGTTAATTGCCAACCATTTTCCTTGAGCTGTTTCATTAAATCTTTCATTCACAGGAGGGGAAAATAGTATCACTGTACCCAAAAAAATACTGCACATGTTCTTTTCCTCATAAATCATATTAATTGCAGGCATGGTCACAAAGCATATTAAACACAGGCATGCGTAAATGAATTAAAACATATGAGAATTTTATTGTGCCTATGGAGGGTCCTACATCCTCGAATACTAACCATGTTAACAGACAGAATGTTTCATTTCAATAAAATAAACTTTTTTTTTTTAGTTTAATGTCCTTTATTTTGGCAATAATAGAAATATTTTCCAACAGCTGATAATGGACCAGACACTGTGTTCATGCCTTCAAGGCTTTCATCGCTCGAGCTCCCTTTCTCGATCATATCCTCAGCTGGTGATTCTGTGCTGACTCCACCAGCAAGGGATTTGTCCTAATGAATATTTTGGATTGCTTCAGATGTGTTCTCTCAGAAAAAGTTTTCTGTAGAATTTGGTTGTTGCACTCTACTGTGTTCTGTTTACTTATTCATAACTTCACCTTTGCTTTCTAATGGAATGATTTTATCTGTTATATTGTATTTTATTGTATAAACACAAAGGCTGTGCATCAACATTCCTATGTGTGTTTTGCAAAAGGTGAGAACAAAATATATGTAGCTAAAAATTTTAAATCTGATATTTTTTTTCATATTTATAGGAGTTCTGCTCTAAAATAAATTGGATATTATCATATCACTTTAATGTGGTGTTAACTCAGCCCTTGGATTCTGGGTTAGTGAGGCTGATAATTACTAATTTACCTTTCCCAAAGTGATTTAGAGGGGAGCACATTTTTTCCAGTAATTTGGATGGTATAGAGATTGAATAAATTTATTTTATACCTTAATTATTATAAAGCAATCATATCTGTTTACTTCCTTAGAACTATACTGCTTCATTACCCAACAGAAATTCTGAGCTGCAAAATCCAGATCCTTGTGTGTCTCGAGTTCAGTGAGGAACTGAGGGTGCTGAGCATTTTGCAGACTGGCCTGTTAATGGATTTCTAATTGATTAGGTGAAAGTTAGCCATGCCCTTCCTGTAACTCCTTGTATGGGTGAGAAGGTCATGGCACAAACCGCAGCAAAGACTCCTGCCCTGAGGCTACTTCCCATAGAGCTTTCAAAACTGACATGTCCAAAAATCGAATTATTTAGATACTAATCAACTGCAGGATGATTCTGAAGGCCTCTGAGGAAGATATTTCTGGGAAGTTGGTTACTTTTCAGTTTTCTCCAGCTCAGAGACAGATGCCTCAGTCAGTTCTGCTCCAGAATATTTACTAGGTGCACGTCCACTTAATAAAATGATGCTTAATTATTTTCTAATTTAAAAAAGTTAATCTTACCAAACATTAATTTTAGTTTGTCAAAGAAATGAAATCTCTATCCAAATAGAGTTGCTACTACTGATGTTTGAGTGGCGTTTGTGACTCTGTCTGGACCCAGGTTTCAGTTTCAAGACAAATCTCCAATTTTAAAAAAAGCTTCCAATCCAAAAGTTTTTGAGCTCACTCTTTTTGCTGGCAAAGTCCAAATAATTTTGTCTTGGGTTTTATTCTATTGAAAATGTTAAATTGAAACAAACAAACAAACAAACAAACAAACCTCTAGTTAAAATACGCTGGTGATAAAATAGTTATTTACCTAAATTAACAAATTTAGCAAATTTGGGTAAAAAATTGTTTTTTAAATTTGTTTAAAAAGAAGTGCTGGCAGGCAGTGAGTGATGTGAAAGCCCTGAGGCAGAGAAGAGCTCCCCTGTGACATGAGCCCAGCCCAGCCCCTTCTCTCTGCTCTTGAACTCAGAACAAAACACGGGGCAGTCCTGTAAATATTGCTGTCACACTGGCCCTACACGGCGATGGAAAGGCTTGTGCACTTGAGATTTCTGATAAACCCCTGCACATTTTAAACCATAGTCAAAACCATGATACTCCTGCCAACATAAATATTTCCCAAAGTAGTAATTTTCAATGTAAATATTTAAGTTATCCCCTTTCTTTTATCTTTTTTTTTGTAGTTCTTTCTCTTCTTTTAATTCTATTAGTGTTAATTTCAAAGGACAAGGATTAATATAACCCGAATGAACACAGGTTCCAATACTGTGTGCTGCTGATGCAGTGTCAGTCATTGAGCATGCTACATTTTGGATATCAAATATCAAATTCAAATGTTATAAGAAAAATACTTGGAATTTCTGAAAAACTTGCTAAAATAATAGAAATTTTAGTAGTTTTCAGAATAAATTTTTAGAACAAAAACTTGAGAGCCCAGTATTTTCAACTTTTGGGGAGTTTTGACATAAAATGATGTCAAATAAAATAATATCTGTACATCAAATAAAATGATGTACAGATAACATGATTTTTCAGTCTGTAGTGATTTCAGAATTTTTTTTTTATTAAACACAAGTTATTTGTAACAGCATTTAATGTATTTGTTGAATTAAATAGAAAATATCTTACATCCTGAATCCAAATTCATCTTGTTTTTATAAATTAAAAGTTGTAAGATTTCAATATCTGAATGCAGTCTTTGCATATATTTTGGAATTTCTTTCTGTATGAATGCTTCAGTTTGTGAAACATTCAGCAAATACCACTGGTTAAAGTCATGTTTTTCAGCTTAGAGAATCAGAAGTGAACATTCCAATGCTATATATAGTAACTGAGCTTCTTAGCATTCTTTTTTCTTTTTCAATGAGGTATCTTGGGTGCATTTGATGCAAACATATTTTGTGTTCTTGATGCGGGGGTCTGGGTTTCCCTTTGTGAATTATTGTTTCTATCTCTTGCTGTTTTCTTAATCAGACATGTAAAAACTGTGTAGGTCTTCTTTCCTACCTAAATCACTATCCCTGGATCTTGTTTCATCTATTTATCAAAAACAAAACCCAAACCAACAAAAAAGCAAACAACTCTGAGCTGCAAAAACAAGCTCCCTGCAATAATAATACCTTTTAGTTTGTGATGGAAAATAAGTACAATTCCAGGAGGAGCATCAGAACTTTAGGAAACAGATATGTTCTTATGAGGTTTAATTAAGTCTTTAAAAAAGAGACTCAAATTTTTAAAAACTCTGTTTAGTTTATGACAAGAATTGCTGCAAAGCAGTGTGATTATCAAATATAAAGTCAGATAATTGTAATGGTTTTTTGGAGCAAGGACAGCCTGTAAATGATCACAATACGCAATTTTGGCAGCAGCTGTATGTCACCCATCTGTTAGAAGCTGCAGATTGTTTATCAGGCTCTGAAGTGCAATTTATTCAGCAAAAGTAAGCAAATCTCAGTCATACAGTTATTTTCAAAGTGTTCTATACTGGTGTGCCAGGAAAGGAAAGGTTCACCAACCTGTAATGGGAGAGATTTTTGAACAACAAGAACTTTTCACTGTAGTTTTGTGCTTGAAAACACAGATGCTTTTGAAATTTTTTCTTGCTCTTTACTGGAAATTATGGCCTAGAGGGCTGGGCTTTTATAGGGACAAACATGTATTTTCCAGTAAACTCTTTTCAGCTACTGATTTCATAACTGTCCCTGTAGAAGCAGCTTAATAAAGGAGTCACAGCTGACTTGAGCTCTGGAGTGCCTGACCCTTTCTGTTGTGCTCTGCAAGTCAGTTTTTGGAATAAATAACTGGTGCTATGACCAGCATTTTACTCTTGCACATAAATTTCTTTACAGCACACAGGGCATGCAGCAGTGGGGGGATCACTGCTCTGCCCCTTTCCCAGCACCTAGAACATCAGGATTCAGTGGGGTTCTTTCTGACTTCCATCAGTAGTGCTACTGGGATCTGCTCCCAGCTGATTTCATTGGAATAGCTGCTGATCTTGGAGAAGAAAATTGTGTGAGCTTTTTCACAGCTTTTTTATGTTTGTAGATCATGCAGGACACCATGGTTACACAGCCACTACTTGCTTTTTGTTCTCTTAAAATTTTGTTATAATTTAGCCCTCAAGGAATAAACATCTGCAGAACTCCCAGCTGGAGTTGGGATCAAGCACTCTAGAACCATAAAAGTTTTAAAAAATATTATTCTTTATTTGCCCCAGTATCACTTTTTATTGCTTGTTAGCCATCAGACTTTATTTTGGTGGATGATGTAACCAAATTCTACTTCCTCTTGGAAGCTACTCAAAGCACAATTCAAGTATCAAGTCTACCTGGTTTAGGAAATCAAATTATAGATTTGAGAACTTCTGTGGTTCTGTAAGCAATGTAGTTCTTCGTATATTTTAACTCTTTCTATTATTCTACCTCTTAGGTAATGGGACTCTTGACTAACCACGGTGGCGTGCCTCACCAGCCCCAAACTGATTATGCCCTGTCCCCTCTAACTGGGGGCCTGGAGCCCACCACCACTGTGTCAGCCAGCTGCAGCCAGAGGTTAGATCACATGAAGAGCTTAGACAGCCTGCCTACATCCCAGTCCTACTGCCCGCCGACCTACAGCACCACGGGATACAGCATGGACCCCGTCACGGGCTACCAGTACGGCCAGTACGGCCAAAGTGAGTATGGAACACACACCCAGCTACCAACAGCCTGTGCTCTCCTTCTGTCTGTCTGTCTGTCTGTCTGTCTGTCTGTGAGGAAGGGAGTTCTGAGCAGAGATCCTCAGGGCTCGCTGCTACTTCTCCTCAAAGCCATGCACTGGTGAGATAGCTGATTGTTCGAGCAGGGTTTCTGCTGCATAATTATTTTCTTAAGTGATGTCAACAACATCTTGATGTTATTAATTGTTGAGACATGAAACCTGATTGCCATTAGGTAAAACATAAGGGTTGTCCAAAATGAAATAACCGCTGGCATTCCACTATTAGAAACACATGTTCTTAATGAGGTCAGCTCAAGAATCATTACACTATATAATCCCAGATACATAGAGTTTTGTCAAACTTGTCCTAGGAATAAAAATATTAGTCCCTTTCCTTTGATACAGCACTATTAAATATGACATTGTCAACCTGTAGTTGGCATGGCCCCATGCTGTGAGGTTGTCACAGCATGACTTAAAAAGCTTCTTTTGCTTTTTTGCAGGTGCCTTTCATTATCTGAAGCCAGATATTGCGTAAATGAACTGTCCACTTCAAGTTAAAGCTTGTCTCGTTTTCCGGTCTCACTCCAAGGTTTGGATATGAGGGATCTTCTCAACACAGTGCAGCCTAAACTGGGGCAGTCCCACTGAGAGAAACATGCTTGTTATGTTCTCTCCAGTCATAGCTTTTAGTAGACTTTTGAAGGCTGCACAGAGCTATACAGAAGACAAAGGCCAAAAGCAATAATGAATAAATGTGACATGCTTCATTATGAGTGGGTATACAAAACAGAGCAGTATTTAACATCACAACCTGGCAAACATTCCATTTTTTTGTTGTTGAAATTAATGTGCATTGATTGGGACAAATGGAACATTTTGAAACTAAAGACTTAGAGCAGTTGAGCTCTGCATACTCTGACTCATCTGACATCCAGTGCTGACTTTAGTCTAACTATAAAACAGCTCAGTTTCTGAAGCAAGGTTGGGAGAGCCTCTCACTGTACACACTGGAAATTGTCATCAAGAGGAAACGTCACAGTCCCTAGGAAGCTGGATAAGAGTGAAAGACTTCCTGAGCAACTCGTTGGTTACCTTACCATGCTTTTGTAATCACCTTGTCAATAAATGTCACTCACAGGTTCTGCTTTACCAAGAGAGGAGATCTTGTGTAACACGAAATCCAGATTTTACCTTTTTGTATGTGTTTTCCCAGTGTGTTTTACCTTTTTAAACAAACATGGGAGACAAAAACCCCACCAACAATGCGACTGATTTTTCATAACTGCCTAGCAATGTGCAATACCGTGTACCTCACACAAACTTTGGGATCATCCAAAGTCATAGATATAGAATCAGAACTATATTTTTGCAGGTACTTTTATTTTTGCAGTGCATAATTCCTGATGATAGAATACAGAAATGTTACAGTCTACTGGATTACTGAAATCCAGCTTGTTAATCATGATTTAAAAGTCATCTTCAGGAAACAATACGAAGAAATTATTACGTTTACATGTTTTTTAGTGATGTACAGGACATAGACAGAGATGGACCTGTATTTGACACACCTGTTTAAATTATACAGTGATATCCAATATAGAAAATATAATTATAGGAACCAAGGTTTACAAGAAGTTTGCATCGTGACATTTTAGAATGTCAATAAATTTGTGTTTTGTGATGTTGAGAGGAAGAGGATGATGGAAGGTGGGATTATTTATTTCTCTCTATTCTTGGAACAAAGAGGGAGGCAGAACACAAATACATTCCTTTTAGAGTTAAGGACTATGAAGTAGTGAGTTAGACTAGGTTCAGTACAGAGGTTAGTTCACACAATGGTCTTAAGGGTGATGGAAAAATCTTTGTGTTGCAGCCTCTACAACAGAATGTGTTGTAAAAAAAAGAAAAACCCAAACAAAAAAAACAACAAAAAAAGAAAACAAAAAAACAAATGTCTTTCATGTAAAAAGTTCAGTAAATATTTACTATTTATAATGAATAAACATTATGAAGACTTGCAAAGCACTGATGATTTTGTCCTAAAATGTAGTATTGTGATAAATACATTGATACATTTTAATCTGAATATCATGAAGAAATAAACCATGTTATCTTCGATGCAGACTGTGTTCATTATATGAGTGTATTCTGCACACATCCTGGGCTGTGGGATGCCACATGGAGCTCTTGGGTATGTCTGGGTGTGTGTGAGACAGTGAGTTTTGCTCCAGTGCTGGGGGTACCAGGAGTAAAACTTAACAAGGGAAAAGCCCTTGCCATGCATACAAAAGAAAATAACCTAGGTTTAAACTCAGCACAAGCAGGGCAACTGGGATGGCTTCAGAAAATGCAGGGACTTTGTAATGGGTGGTATCTGTCCTGAATTATAATTTTTTCCTAAGAAACCTCAAGAATTTTTTAATAGGCCTGCACACAAACTGATTGTAACATGGGGAAGACCCTTCAGAATGGGTGGAGTAAATTTTACTGCCATATCAGTGTGCAAGGGAATTTTGCTTCACCCTGTTTGGTGAACATTTAATTTCCTCACTGTTTTGTAGGGGATGTAACCACCTTGAATTTCTTTCTGCATTTTTCCTATGTGCATTTTATTTTTATTTTGTTCTTTTAAGTCTAGCTCTCTTCCATTGGAAAAGGAAGGAAAACATTTCTTGAAGAGAGGATATTAAAAATTCTGAAAAAGGGGGAGAGGAGATTTCTTTTTTCCTTTCCAGTTACTCTGATACACTTTTTAATTTCTGAGACAACTAAAATTTGAAACTCTCTTATTAACACCCATTCTCTGCTCTAAACTGCTATTTTTTCTGATTTTTTTCAACTCTGCTTCTAAGGACTTGTCCCTTGGCAATTGTCTCATGTCCTGGGCTTGCTGCAAAGGCCATGGAAACTTCTATTTCCCACTTGCAATCAATCCCTTTTCTGTAAACTGCTGGGTAGAATCCTGTTTGCTTACACAGTTTGGAACTGGGTGATGGGTGCTCCTTCCCAGGAGTGTACCCTTGTCACAGGGTGATTGAAAAATGTCACTTTCTTTTTGTGTTCCAGCAGCTGCAGGGGTGGGAGAGCTGTGTTTCTCCTGTCCCCTCAATCCCACTCAGGTGCTTTACTGACCTCACATTAGGGAATGGGAATTTTGGCTGCTCCATCTTCTTCTCAAGGGTGTTCCAAGCACTTTCTTGTACAGAGAGAGAGACTGGAAACAAGACAGATAGAGAAGGCTCTGTCCTGCCTGTGGTGGGGGGTTGGAACTGGATGGTCTTTAAGGTCTCTTCCAACCTCAACCATTTTATGATTCTTTGAAAATCATCCATTCTTCTCACAGTCAAGCCATGCAGTGAAGAACTGGGATGAGCTCTTGTCATGGGAAGGGAGGAGCCTGGTGCAGAGGGACTAAGCAGTATCTGAATTTATCGTGTGCTGTAGAGATCTTTGACAGAGCTACAAGGATAAGTTGGGATACTGTTGACCCCTTCTTGTTATCACTGACAAGACTGAAGAGGTTCTTGGGAACCACATGTTTTTCTGGGATATGAATTCTGAATGCTCAGAAAGTCCAAGAGGAATGAGCCTGCCATGGATATTGCATTTGACAGAAAAGCCACGCAATAGCTGGGAGGAATGTGCTCACAGCAATGGAGTCCAAACCCCACTCATGAGTGCAGAAAGGGCAGGTCTCAGGGTCCCTCCTCTCATTTTCCTTTTTCTGTGTGTGTGTGTGCATGTTTTACAAGATGGAAATAAATCACCAGAGCTGCTTAACTGACTGTCTGTCATCTCATTAGAACTGGGAGATGTTGAGAGACAGGTTTTCATAAATTTTTTTTCTTTGTGTCACAACCATGATTTTTAAATTAAGTCTTACTTTATCTAGAAATGACCTCTACTTCCATCACAATACCCAGTATATGCATACTTCATACTGCCATACTGCCAATATATTGGCATACTTCAGTATGTATCACTATTCCTTAATCCAAGCATTAAGGAATGAGCTAGGAAAAGAATAATTTTTAATGACAGCTATTATCCTTTTCCTGAGTTATTTCAGTGTTTCTCATTTAAACAAAAGCTAGAAATAAACATTTTTCTCCAATAATCACACAGGATTTTCTACTCAGTATTGCTCAAAAGTCTCTATCCAAATAACAGATGCTGTTGCAGTGTACCTTTCTGGGCTATTTTGAAAGGCACAAAATGTCTATCCCAATCTACAAACCTGCAGTGAAAATAGCTGATGTTCAAACATGTTCTGTGTCCTCAGAAATCTGTTTCTGCACCTATGTGCACCTAACCTAGAGTTAGGTTTTTAATACCTAGGTTACGGTCTGTGCACATTAAAACACAAAATATCTGGTTACAGTTCTGTAACATGTATCTCCAAATGTAATGAAAAAATACAAAGCTACTTAACTTTGCAATTCCAAAGCCCACCCCAAATTATCACATGCTACTAATATTTTTTTGGGAGCAAGGATGTCTGCATTTTCTCAGAAGTATGGCAGAGAACAGCATGTAAACTATTTGTTATGTCTGAATTTGTGATATATTCTTACAGAATATATAAGAAATGCATTGTCTCTGGTTACTGCTGAGGAAAGCATACATTTTTGCTGTGTTGGTAACCATGAATATTCTCAACATTTGCTATCCATAAAGTCTTCTTAAAGTCTTCCATAAAGTCTTCTTACTATCCTTAAAGTCTATAAAGTGGACTACTAGAAGATAGCTTTGGATGAAATAAGAAGAAATTAATTTAAGGCAATATCAGTGGAGCCATCAGAAATCTGGAACAGCTTGAATTTATAAACTTCTTTGTATTGTTCACTTCAATCTTCTGCTTAATTGCGAGAAAACCTGAATCCTGATTAGGAGATCCCATTTTTAATTTATTTTCACTTTTCCACTGACATCTAGATATTCCCTAGAGCAACTGGAGAGTCCTAGGGTTATTTAAAGAAGCACATGAGTTGATTTGAATCTGTTCAAGATATTTGTCTATTGCAAAATAATAAAACTTGTAGTCTGCTTCTGTGGTTGTTGCAGGTAAGAGACCATTTGAGCTGTCAGATTTTCACTCCTTATTCTCTCCCAGCACTTCTGGGCAGCTCATCACAGGCTGGGAAATTCTCATCAGCCTCAGGGAGAAAAATGCTACAGCAGGGGGATTAGTCTGGTTCAAAAACTCCAGTTCAGGTATTTATCATACAAACTCAAAATCAGGATGTGTACATAGTGCTGGCACTTGGCTCTGTTTTGCCATCATGGTTCCCACAAACACCACTTTGCAGTGTTCACACACAGTTTAAATCTTTGTTTAGTGCATTTCCATCGCCTCACAACCGGTCACTGATTAAGCCAGGGTGGCTGTGGGCAGCTCGGGCACTACAGCGCTTTGACATGCACTGTTTATTATTCAGCTACTCAGGCAATGTCATGAAAAATCATAATAAAACTAGGAAGACACATCACATTTGACCTTTGCTGAATAATTTAATAAAGCAAGCTTGCTACACAAATGTGAAAGAGCAGTTGCTGGTAGGAGCGGAACTATTGCTTCCTTGTCTGAGAATTGGAAACAGTTCAGAAGCTTTATTAACCATTTGGTGTCTTCATCTTCAGCAAAGTTTGTCCCTTAGGCCATAACCAAATGTTAAACTACTTGTTCCTCCCCACACTCCCCTCCTTTCAGCACTCACACCAGTATCTTTGCTTATGCTGTACACAATTACGGTGTCCGTCCTTCTCATGTCTCTGTACAATTATCCTTTTTCTTTTCTCACAGATTCAGTTTTATTTACACAAACATTTTTCTCCCCATACATATGCATTTATTCATAATGATCTCAAATGTACATACCTCTAAAATGTTATCTTTAAAAGGGTGATTGTTACAGGTACTCTGCATGCTCAAACCATGATACTTCAGAATTCAGGAATTCTGAGATGGAAAAAATGTCTTTGGAGCCACTGTTGTGTGAGTGTCCCCATGGTCAGTGCCAGAATAATTAGCTAAGGGTACAAATCTCCTGAGTTTTTTGAAATGCTGTTCTGGCCACACTTATCCTGGGGAGGGGTCTGTGGGGTCTGGGGGTGGTGTGGCTTGCAGGAACCATCTGGGTATGCACTAC